TATATATAATTAAAAATTAACTAAAAGTTGATAAAAAAAAATACTCAATATTAGCAATTAATAATACTTTAAAAGAAAGAGTTTTCGAGCCAAATTCAGACTTAGATAATAAAACGCGATCATGTTGTTGGCGTAGGTCAGGACCACAGCCCAACACCAATTCTATTTTAGGTTATGTATGCATACACACAGACATATGTATGTGTGTATATATGCATTCAGCTCAATGTATATACATATATATATGCATATGGAGGAAACTAAATAAAAATCTTACGTTTTGAATGTAAAACCAAAGTTGGTTTTTATCAAGATTTGCATGTTGCACAGCTGTTGCCAATTAGCAAACGGGAAAATCCAATTGGGAAGCTTTTTGGAGACAGGCAATCTAGGGTTAATATTATTGCATTCCAAGGAAATGCAAAAAATTGATCGAATAATCTCACACAAATTCGACAAAAAGCCGGCTAAATGACAAATCATTCATACATACAATTGTATGTACCTCAATACTATTCTTTCTCAAAAATAACATTTATTTAACATACATTCGCGCACACGCACACACACACATGCACAGTTGCATATGTATGTATGTACGTTGCTCGTTTTTGCTTTGCTCGCCGGTGTGTTTGGTTTTTCTTTTCGTTTTTGTTTCACTTGTCGTTTATTTGACGTATTTTCTTTATTTGCAACTTTTCGTTGTAGGAATGTTGGGGGCAGGAAGGGCTTTTGGAAATATAAGTACTGCAACAAACACTTTTTTACACAAGTAGCTCTCGCTCTCTCTATTCTTCTTAGCCGCTTTGCTTTGCGTTTTTATTTTTCTTTTTTTTTTTTTTGCAAACGCTGCGAGGTTAAGTTTGTCTTTTTGCTTTGCAGCTGCAATCCGTTGGTGCTGGAGAGGAGGAAGCTTTTTTTTTTTGGGCTAACTACAAAAACAAACAAAAAAAAGTATCCTATTTGCAACGTTTTGTGTTGCAGGATGCGCACACACACACACACACGCACACAGACAACAAAATGGCTTTTTGCGTTTGGTTTTTAATGTTGTTTTTGTCACAGTAAAAAAAATTTTAGCAGAAGCTACACAAACGCGTCGCGTTGCAAAAATGTGCTAAAAAATGCGCTCAGCTGTCCAAAGTGGTTAGCGATATATTTGGGCTATCGATATACATTGTGTTCGTTCTCGCCATGTTAGCAGCTCGATACATTTTGAATTTAAAGGGCGGTTTACTCAGCTAACGAAACCAACTTAACGAAAGATTCAAAAATGTCTACACTTGATATATTTCTGCAGTCTTCCATGTACAGCGAAGAAAGCTCAATTTTTCTTGTTATCAAATATAAAATTTTCTATTTGAAGCTAAAATATTGTGAAAATATGCTATTAAAGAAAAGAGACACATTTAGATTATTCTGATGTTGTTTTTTTTTTTTTTTTATGATATACATACATTTTGTATATTTAATGCATAATATGCATGAAAACTATATTTATGTTTGTTAAAGATCTTTTCATCTGCTTAGCAATCTTTGATTCTGTTGTCTGACAACTCCGGCAGAACACGGCCACTTTTTTGTTATTTAACAGAGCAGGCTTTCATTTTACAGTCGCATCGATACCTAGTGCAATCGAAGTAATAGAACTTTCCGCCATTCATTTGTATAAGGTGTCAAAAAACAGGAGAGAAAAAAAATATATAAAAAAAATGGAACGCAAAAATTTAACTTTTTCTGAATCCGGTTGGCTCATCAATGCTTTAATTAATTAACAATGGTAGCTATAACTATAACTATAATTATAATTATAATATTGCAGGCTCCAACGACCGTTCGAATGCTGAAGAAAACGCTAACTTGGAGTCGCCGAATAACGAACCAACTTTGGACGAAGGCGCCAACTCAAATGAGGCGAATGGCCAAAATGCGGCAGCAAATAATGGGAACGCGGCTAACGGTAAACAGTTTATATTTATAAAAATTCGATGGTTATGCATATATATTTTCTTATTCACATATAGGCACAGCTGGAAATGGGGGAGTCCAGAATGATCCATTCCCAAATCGTATCATAGGAGAGATTACAATTGGGCGCGTTTATCGTAGTAAGTGCAATATATATATATTTAATATACATACATATATTTAAGACATATACATATGTGTACATATATATTAGATGCTGCTAATGAACCGTTGATTATTGTCTCTCCACCTCGAGCCATAACCACAACGGTAGATCCTTCAGATGATGTAGACATGGATAACGGTAAGTATATGCATGTACAAATATTAATCGAAATATTCCTTTTAAATTGTGCGTAGTCGCAATACTATTTTAATTAAGGCAATTGCATATAAAACAAATTCGATGTTTCTTTTAGTTATAATTGTAAGTGCAAATATAAATCTGATGCGTGGGCGTGTTCCTCCTGGAAACCAGCGTCTCGCAAGTCGCCGTTTAAATCGTTAGTATATACGATCTATATGCATATCGGTATCTATATCTAAAAATGTTACTCATTTACTAGCGGTTATCTTCTCGGATAGCGATACCGATGATGATTCCTCAACAAATTCCCAAACTTCTAATAATTCCAATGCTGCAGCCGGTGCCCGAGCTTCAACCGGTGCTCAACGTCGAGTCCGTGCCGAACCCCTAAACCGTAACCAACCTCCAATCCGTGAGCAACCTTTAGTCCGTGAACAAGCTCCAATCCGTGAGCCAGCTCCAATCGGTGATCAAGCTCCAATTGGTGCGCAAGCTCTAATCCCTGAACTAGCTCCAATCCGTGAGCCAGCTCCAATCGGTGATCAAGCTCCAATTGGTGCGCAAGCTCTAATCCCTGAACTAGCTCCAATCCGTGAGCCAGCTCCAATCGGTGATCAAGCTCCAAT